GTGTGTGTGTGTGTGTGTGTGTGTAAGAGCCTGTGCAGAAGGAGGAGGAACTGCAAAGTGTTTTCAGTGGTTTGCAAAGCGGCTCCTGAGTGAAGGACGATGTGACTGACTAACTGTCGACTGTGGAGTCCATGAGTGTTCAATCAAGTGATACAATAAATGAAAAGAACAGGAGGGATGATTGAGGAGGACAGAGGGAATACAGACGGGTAAATTCAAACTTTAGCAGGTTAAGAATGGCTGTGATTATAATACAATGTCTCCAAAGATGTTTGATTGCTCAGGTAAGACGGGGGGGGAGGGCGGGATGGCTCAGGCAACGAGAGGTGCAACAGTAATTCTGGCGAGTGCAATTATCCTGGTGTGTTGCTCTCTAACTCCTCGCACAATAGAGTGTGATTCAATTCAGACGCCTCGATGGGACCTCGCTCCTCACATCACAGGCTGATGAAACTAGAGGACCACTTTCCTCTGTGTGCTTGTGCAAAAGAGAATGAGATCTTCAGTATTTATATAATAAATGTTTGTGCTGTTCGCAGAGCATTTATCTTTTAAAAGTGGAGGAAAGAACTGAGCCGACCAGAGGAAGTCCAAGAAAAGAAAGACGACTAGCAGGTCTCTTTACTTTGAGTCTATCTGCATGTGCCGTCTACGGTTTGAAGTTCCCTTACAGTGTGAAGCATTTCAAATCAAAACTGCAAATCACAACTTCATGTGTCACTTGAGGAAAAGTCAGTAGATGTCGGGTACCTTGAATATTTGATCTAAACGTCACCGCAATACTTTTATAACTTATATAACAAACTGAAATAAATAATTGTGATAACTGACAATGGAGGACGAGTCTGGATTTTATACAAAATATGTATAAAAGAGGCAAAAAAAATTAAACCAAAAGTCCATCTGTCTATGAAAAAAAGAAAATGTCTTGTTTCTTTCATATAAACTTTTCCATCAAAGCTCCACTCTGTGTCACCTCCTGAGTGCCCCATTTAATAACCATATAACGACGGACCAGATAATGTCCTGAGTGTAATTGTTCACCAGGAGAGGTAGAAACATGCAGCGCCATTGTCCTTCTGCCTTTTGTAGTTAGTTAAAAGATGGATAAATAAGATGCAATTTAGAGACTTTTAAGAGATGATTTTTTTCCCCCTCCTGCCTTAATCACTGTGAAATTACCGCTGGGTGATGGCTGTCATTAAAATAGAAGAGGCACTTGCTTCTTGGATGCTCAATGAGAGCGTGAAGCGCTAATAGCACCGTGCCTCAATGGCACAGTTTTAACAGGCCCTGTATTATCCTGCTGTGCATATATCCGTGTCTGCGGCGCTCGCTCACCGAGGAACGTATTGCAATGATGTATTAGTAGTTTGTCGCAGCTGTTTCCTGTGACAAATACAGGAAGGAAGATGGTGCACGACGTCTTTCATAGCTGCAGAGGCACGTGGTTATTTTCAAACTGAATTTATTGACCTTGTTTGAGATCTATGCAGTGTCCACGTTGATGACCCACTTAGACCAGTTTCTGCTCTTGTCAGTATTACCCCCAAACAAAACCTTAATCTTCTTCACTTTCAGTTAGAAGGAGAAGTGACGCCTGCCGTACGTGCACCATTACTGCTGCTGCTTTACTGTCACAGAGGCCTAGCTCTGGTCCGGGGTTTGTGTCCCCCAGGGTGGCTTGTGGCCCCGGGCTAGAGGGCCCTGCCAGGAGGCATGAAGTGACGTGGCCAACAACCTCCAGATGTTGGGCTGCATTAGGGCCCGACAGCCTGTCATGTCACCGCCTACACTACAACACAGTTCCATCACCTCCCATCTGCTGCCCAACACCTCCTGAGGGGGCTGGGGGTGGAGGGGTGGCGCATCAGATACAGCAACTATGACACTTAACTGCACTTCATCTCCGATTATTTACGAAAGTCAAAGTTTTAGCTCTAAGTGCACTTATCATGCAGAAAGAGACAGTTCAGAACAATTATATAATTTGATAATTGTTGATAATATGATTAATTATAGAGTTACGGTTGGTAAGTGTTTTGCAGGAGTATGTGCAGAGAACAGGGATTCTCCTGTAAAGTACTAGAAAGTGTGCTTAGGTAAAGTATTTGAGTAAATGTACCTTTGCAGGAGATAATGAAATACCTCCATCTACAGGCAGAGACAGTCCTTAACCATGTCGATCGAATCCAGTGCAGAGGAGTGAGAGCAGAGATTCTGAAGAAAACATAAAGATCTATGAGCGTATGAATTAACATGCCAAACAAACATCCAGTGCATACGCCATTAAATAACCTAGAGTTTAAATTAATTTATCAATTAGATGATTGAAAAAGGTTCATCAGCAGCTACTCAAGCAAATAAATCATTCAAGCTGTATTTTTTTAGTTATAAAATAATAGTTGGGTCAATTAACATGCATTAGCATATGAACCGTTAAGATATGCAACTTTCTGCACATTATATGATAAAACAGCATTTTAAAAATTCCACTCGTCAGATTCAAGACCTCATAGATCACCACAAATGAATAGTTGAGGAAAAAAAATTACAAAATAACCTCTAATGTTCATGTTTCTGCAGCTTTTAAAACAGCCACAGCCAAGATTAGAAAATAATGAATGATTAAAATAATTAATTAAATATAATATAATTGACAGATAAGCATTCTGTGCTAAACTTCAAATTGTGCTGGACGACCTGTATTAGATATTGATCAGAAAGATAAAAGCTTGATGTTTGGCTCCCCCTACTGACACAAATGAGAAACCGTATGTAAAGTACATGAAACTCGCGAGATCCACTGCAACTGCTCAGCTGATCATTGGTTCAGCTCACAACTCATTTAACCAAAATTCAGAACAAGAGCTCACGGTTACTGAATTTAAATCCATCCAGGATCAACCAATCAATACTCAAACTTTGGGCAAATATTTATCGTATCATAAATTACTGAAGTTTCTGTTTTTTAACAAATACCTCAAACTTTGTTCTGAGAACAACATTAATGAATTCAGATGAACTAGTCGATTCAGCGACCGACATTTCCGCTTGAATTAGTTACGATACAGGACCTGATTACAGTGAGTCAAGGGGAAATATAATAAACCCAACATATATGAGTATTACTGCTTCATAGTACACAAACAAAACCTCAACCTGAGAGAAAAAGTCATTTAAAGTGTATAGAAATAAAGAGTAGACAACCAACATGACCAGGATACAACAATCAAGATCTGCTGCAACCCAAACACAACTCTGGTGTGAGCACCATCCCTGTAGAATACACCAACCTGAACAAATATGTATTTGCACACATTTTAAATGACTTGTTCTGTCAACAGCATGTGGGGGGG